TTTTTTTTTTTTTTTTTTTAAAGATGACAAGTAAGGGGATCTTAATCCTTGACTTGGTGTTATTGGCACCATGCTCTCCCAAGTGAGCTAACCGGCCATCCCTATATAGGGATCCGAACCCGTGGCCTTGGCGTTATCAGCACCACACTCTCCCAAGCAAGCCATGGGCCGGCCCCAGCCTACTGCATATTTTTGCTTAATGCTCTAAAATCGGTCCCAAGCACCTCTTTTAGCCATTTATAAAACCTGGAGTATTTGGCAAGTCATATCTTATTTTTTAATTTGTAAGGCTACCTTGCTAAAATTGAGGGGCATGGGGCAGAGACAATGAAGTTTTGATAAACTTTAATAATATAATGGCATAGTCAGGAAGAATATGTACAAGTAATGCCAAGAGCAATAGATTGATGTCCTATGGTTTACCTGAAACCTTCATTTATTGCTTTGATGGGATTCTACCTGAGAAGTTTTGAGAACAGCAAAGTCTGTAGATCTTTTGGGGGATTATAATAGGTTTTATAGAAAAATAATTATTTTATATTAATGTCACCTATATTTGTTTTTCTTCTTCATTTAGTATTTTTATTGGTAGTAGTATTGTAGGTAAAAGTTTACACAGCATGTTTTGTGAAATGTGTTACTGACTTGGTGATGTTATGGATATGTAGCCCGCTCAGGAAGAACAGAGAGAAGATCCAGATTTTGAAACTAAGGGAGGACTTGAAGAGTGCTCCAAAATAGAAGTAAAAGAAGAAAGTCCTGAATCAAAAGCAGAAAGAGAGTTAAAAGCCTCCCAGAAATCAATCAGAAGACACAGAAACATGCACTGCAAGATTTCTTTGTTGGATGACACAGTTTATGAATGTGTTGTGGAGGTGAGTGCAATTTAATACCCAGTAGTCAGAACTCTTACAAAGTGTTTCATGTAGAGTTGGATAAGTAGTGCCATTGCCCAAGATAAGACCCACTCTATTGACTACTTCTGTGGACAGAAATGTTAATAGTGATTTTCTGGAGGTGGGGGTAGGGGAGGATTATAAATGAGTCTTATTTTCTTCTCTGATTTTCTCTGCATCTGCCAAAATCTTGTGAATTGAGCATGTATACTTTTATAATTAAAAACTAATTTATGGGCCAGCCCAGTGGCTCACTCGGGAGAGTGCGGTGCTGATAACACCAAGGCCCTGGGTTCGGATCACATATAGGGATGGCCGGTTCGCTCACTGGCTGGGCGTGGTGCTGACAACACCAAGTCAAGGGTTAAGATCCCCTTACCGGTCATCTTTTGAAAAAAAAAAAAAAAACTAATTTATATTTTTTTAACAAAATTATTATTTATCAAGTGACCTTCCATGACTAGATTTCCTAGGATAGCCTCAATTTTGGATATTAGGTCCAGCTATCTCCATAATTACAGTTGTCAGAAAGTTGGTGGACTAATGAGTAGAAAACCATGGTGGGGCCGGCCCGTGGCTCACTTGGGAGAGTGTGGTGCTGATAACACCAAGGACAAGGATTCGGGTCCCTAAATAGGGATGGCCTGTTTAGCTCACTTGGTGAGCATGGTGCTGACAACACCAACTCAAGGGTTAAGATCCCCTTACCGGTCATCTTTTAAAAAAAAAAAAAAAAAAAAGAAAAGAAAAGAAAAGAAAACTGTGCTATCTATCCTAAGATAATCACTGTGAAGTATATGCATGTATTGAAATGACACACTGTAGTCCACAAATATGTACAAATAAATGTTTAAAAAAATTTCTATATGTAAAATTTCTGCTCTTCCAGGTCTAAACCTTAATAAACTTTAGTTTACCTAATGTATTTCTTTAATCCCATGAGATAGCATATTTAAAAAAAAAAAATATATATATATATATATATATATATCAAGTAATGCCATTTCTTAAAAGTCTCTATTATTTTCTGAAAGAATAAGTAATGAATTAGGATTAAATAAAAATATCAGAGTTATCCAGTTATTATTTTGCTCCTTCAGGACAAGTTAAAATAAAAAATCTGTTAACTACTTTATTTAAACAGAGCAGTAGTTGTCAATTATGATATGCTTGATATATGAACAATTGTGATTGTTACTAATAATAGCTTTTATTGGTAAAACATATAATTCACATATACTTGTATCTTAAATATTCAACAAATTATTTCTGAATTGAATTATTTATGTGCAAGTGCAAATATATCCAAGCACAAATAGTCTAAAATATTATGTTGTATTTATCAATAGGTATTCCCTCTCCAAATTTTAAAAAGGAAATCAAGAAAAATATACTACTTCATTTTGAAAATAGCTACTACACCTGATAATTAGAGAATACTTAGGATCTGCTTTTTTTGCTCCCTGCCACTAGCTAGGATAGAGATAGAGAAAGCTATTCCACACTCATTCTTCCCATTCAGACCAAGATCCAGATATGGGTCTCTTATATCTGAAACCCTTGAGGACAGGTGTGTTTCAGAATTAAGAATATTTTGAATTATAGAAGGGCAATAAGTACATATTCTGTATATTTCATAATATACCCAGCAGGGTCTGTAGGAACACCTGCAGCATCAAACATATTTCTATGGTAAAATATATAAAGATTCATTCCAAGATGGATAAATGAAGATTGTAAATAGCCTCTTTACAGGTCAGAGTTTGCCTTCAAGTAAGCATTAGAGATAAATAAAAAGCTTTACTTTTTAGAACTTCTGGATTTGGGGATTATGAATAAGGGATTAGGGACCTGTACATGAAGAATTCCCAAATCATCTGTAATTTAGAATGAAAACATAAGAGGAAAAAAATGAAGAAAATGATATAATACAGATGGGTTAAGGCTGAAAATGAATGAACATGTATGTGAGTTACTAATAGCCATTACAAATAATTCATCTCATTGAGAGAAGGACACATCATGTATGTGTGCCAAAAAAATGATTTCTAATTGAAGAATTTTTGGATGTATTTCTCAGACGGCATTAGCATGTTTAATTTTTTTCAACAATTCCAGGTGATAGGTAGGAAAAGTGTAAATATTCTTCTCATTTTACATATGAGAAAGCTAATGTTCAGAAAAGTTAGTTGAATCTACTCAGGTTGTTCAGCTTGTAAATTGTGAAGACATGGCTTTTTGACTCTAAATCTCAGCCTCTAAGTTAGGGCATTTCCTTCTTATAAATAGGAGTACAAGTGCCCACATTTGGGAGTGATGTGACTTTCTAGATAAAGATACATTAAGAAAATGATTCATGGCACCAGTGAAGGAGCCACTCCAATAGGTAGTGTCTGTAGGCTACATAGAATTTTACTTTGTGCATTTTTCTAAAAGAGATTTTAGGGAGTTGAGGCATGCTTATTCTTTGGGACATTTGGTATGAGAATGATTTCTACAGCCACAGTTAACTGTCAGTGTTGACAGATGATTCAGTAATTCAAGTGGTCACAGTGACTTACAGCAGTCCATAGCATGCTTCAGGAAATATTGCATCAAAAATAAAGAATGTAATGTTTAGGATGGAGGTGGGGGATGGGAGATGGAGGGAAGGTAGAATTTTGCTTTGAATTGTAACACTATTTCCAAGCTACTATAAAGTGTGCTATATCTGCAAACTGAAAAATTGAGGAATAGGAATTTTGTAAATCATCTTGTTCTACTTTGACAGTGTAGCCATCTGAGAGTTTGTTAGTAACCAAAGGTAAAAGAGGAAGTTGGAAAGTGTCATTTCGTTTTATTTGGTGATGGATACAGGAATAGGAGAAACCTGAATTAAAATATGTATATCTTTGCAGAAGCACGCCAAGGGACAAGATTTGCTTAAGCGAGTATGTGAGCACCTCAATCTTTTGGAAGAAGACTATTTTGGTCTAGCCATTTGGGATAACACAACCTCTAAGGTGAGGAGAATGCTTACAATGTAAGAAGTTGACAAGAATGTAGTTTTAATTCTTTTGTTGTTGTTCGTGTTAAGAATGTGTGTGTATATATATATGTGTGTGTGTATATATATATATATATATATATATATATATATACACACATATATATATAAAAGAATGTATTTGTTCGTCTCTCCAAGACACATTGTACTTAGTTATTCCTGTCTATTGTTGTTTCTCTGATTTTTCTATTATGTTCCTTCTGGAATTAACATTTTTAAAGAAAAGACCATTGCTGGTGTGTTCTTTCATTATTGAGAAAAAGTATCTACTATATATTTTTGTTTGTTTTTCTTCTTTTTTAAAAAAATATACAGTATAAACACCTTGACCTTGGTGTTTGTTCTGTATATTTTTAAAAGGCAGGGAAAGTAAAGAGGTATGATGTCTTGATTAGCAAGTAGATGCCAATAACTTCATATCTTGTGCAATCAGTACTACATCTAATACACGGGCGGTTCATAATATTTGATGAATGGTTTATTATCAGTATTATAATGATCATTACATTGTAATATATATAGTTATGATATATAATTATAATTTGAAAGCAGTGTTATAAAAGAGAATAAAGTTTCAGTATTATTGAAACAGTCATACAATGGGTCTGATATTTCCTCCAACCTAAAAGGAAACCTGTTGTTAACTTTCAAAGGAAGGAAAAGAATGGGTGAGAATATGGAGGAGGGAAGAAAGGTTAAAAGTCAGGTATTTACCTCTGAACGCTTGAATTATTTCCTGGGTCAGTTAGTTGAAAATTATAAATGTTTAGCTTAAAACCTAATGATGGAAACTTTAGTTCAGTTTAACAAGTATTTGCAGGTAAGATACTAGATGATACAGATACAGCTGTGAATAAGATAGACATGGTCCCTGCCATCTGGAGCTTCTAGTTTCCTATGAAGATAGCATTAATTACTGGTGTGATGAGTATTATACAAAAAAGAAGTACAGGATGTCACGGGAAGTTATGGTCCAAGAAGTTTTCTCTGGAGAAGTGATGCCTAAGCTGAGACCTGAAGGATAAAATGGGCAAGTGAAGTGGAAAGAGAATGGCTTCTGTAAAGACATGGAGTAGAGAGAGTGACATTTGAGAGCCATCTAGCCTGGCTGAACGTAGGGTGTGAGGAATAGAGTAATAGATGAATCTGGAGAGGTACATGAGGTGGAAGGAGGTGTGGGGGTTCTGAAGAGTCTTTTATACAGTGTATTCAGGCCATTCTAGTTGATTCTTTCTCCAAGATGATTTCAATTTATTAAGAAAAGTTGGGCAGCAGGCTTTCACACCTGCAAACCCTATAGATTATGTTGAGTTAGATAGTGCAAACTAGAAGACATGGAATAACCCTTTGTCTAAACAGAATCTATTTGTTGAATATAGCTACCTAGTAGTTTGCAAAAGTTTATTCCTTCTATGAATGACTGTTGACTCAAACAAAAGAACTGTGCCTACCAGCACCAGGTTAATATTGTTCTTTGAGGACTTAACCTTTCCTTTGTCTCCCTAACAGTTCAGACCAGCTTGTACTGATGCCTCATTTTCATTTTCCTATTAGTAAGGGAACATTGAAGTTAATTAAAGACAAAACAGCCTGGCCAGTTAGTTCAGTTGGTTAGAGCCTGGGTTTATAACACCAAGGTCCAGGGTTTGGATCCCTGTGCTGGCCAGCCACAAACAAAAACCCAAGAAAAGAAAAAAACAGTACCCCAAAACTGCAGTGAAAAAACTTTCTGCATCTGTGAGCTAGAAAATTCTCCATGAATCAAGGAAAACACTCTGAAAAGTGTTTTATCCCATACAAGCTCAGGGAGATAATTTTGATTCCTGGAAATTGAATGTGGTTATACTGTGAAAAAACAGCCAAGGTTGATTTGACAATAATTGAGAATCCTTGAATTTGGCATGTAAATAAAGTCACTAAGTGCTCACTTATTTAATGTAACTGGAAATAATTTTTCTATGAACCAAACATGCATAAATATCTGAAACCTGGCTCATCTAAAGGTATTCAGCAGAAGAAATCTTTTCTGCATGCAATTGAGCTTTTAGGGCCCACACTGGGACAAAAATTTTCACTTGCACTGAAAACATTTCACCATTGTTGGTGTCATTCATACTCTGTCCTGTCTGCAAGTTTTATTCCCTTCGTAGTAGTTTTTTACTACCTTAATTAGTTTTTAATGAGCAAATATTAAAGTGCTTTATTTATGTTCATTTATATATTTACATGTAACGTGTTGTTAAAAGTGCCTAATATGAAAGCTGAATAGCAACTACAAACCTGGTATGAAAAGGAAATATTGTTCCTCTTAAAGTATTTCTAGATAAGAAAATCTGATGTCTATGAATCATAATCTAGCTTCAACTTCCCTGATAGTTTATAAGAATCCCTACTGGGAAAGCAGCAGGCAAGTGAATCAGTGGGAAACATAGGGCTTATCATAGTCAGGGCATAGGCAGGTCTTTGGATTAAAATGAGGGTGCTTAGCTAATCCAGGAAGCAGGGCATGAAAGGAAAAGCAGGAATTTCATTAGTACATGGCCCAGGCAAGTATTGTACAAAAATGAATCTGGGGAAGACTTACCTTAGCAATGTCAGGTTACAGGGCAAATATAGTAGCAAAAGCCATTTTGGTGATGATAGTTTTTCCTCAGTGTGCTGTCTCTTGAGTCACACTTCTCCAGTATCCTGTGGGATACTGCAAAAGCAGTGCTAAGGGGAAGTTTATTACCATAAACACTCATATCAAAAGAATAGACAGATTTCAAATAAACAGCCTAACCCCACACCTCAAAGAATTAGAAAAACAAGAACAATCCAATCCCCAAATTAGTAGATAGAAAGAAATAATTAGGATCAGAGCAGATGTAAATGAAATAGAGACTCAAAAAACGATACAAAAGATCAACGAAACAAAAAGTTGGTTTTTTGAAAAGATAAACAAAACAGACAAATCATTAGCTAGGTTAACTAAAAGAGAGAGACGACCCAAATAAAAATCAGATATGAAAAAGGAGACATTACAACCAATACCAAAGAAACACAAAGAAACCTTAGAGACTATTATAAACAACTATACACCAATAAATTTGAAAACCTGGAGGAAATGGATAAATTTTTGGACATATACAAACTACCAAGTTTGAACCAAGAAGAAATAAAAAACCCAAACAGACCAATAACAAGCAATGAGATTGAAGCAGTAATCAGCTCCCAACAAAGAAAAGCCCAGGACCAGATGACTTTACTGCTGAATTCTATCAAACCTTTAAAAAGAAATTAATGCCAGTTCTCTTCAAACTATTCGAAAAAGTTGAAACAGAGGCCATTCTCCCAAACTCATTTTTTTTTTTTTCCCGTGTCCGGCAACGGATCGCAACCCTCAGTGTTGCGCCCGTACCGGACCGGGACCGGCAACGGGATCGCAACCCTCGGTGCTGCGCCCACCCCTCGCTCAGCCAGTGAGCGGGAACCGGTCTGTATGTGGGATCCGAACCCTCAGCGGGAGCGCCACCACGCTTCCCAAGCAGCGCACTGTAGCAGTGCGCCACCGGGCCGGCCCAGCCCAAACTCATTTTATGAGGCCAGCATCACCCTGATACCAAAGCCAAAGATACAACAAAAAAGAAAACTACTGGCCAATATCTCTGATGAACATAGATGCAAAAATCCTCAACAAAGTATTAGCAATCAGAATACAGCAACACAGCACAAAAAATTATACAACACGATCAAGTTTGATTCATCCCAGGATGGTTCAACATATGCAAGTCAATAAATGTCATTCACCACATCACCAAAAGCAAGGAAAAAAACCATATGATTATCTCAATAGATGCAGAAAAAGCACTTGACAAAATTCAACATCCCTTCATGATAAAGACTCTCAGCAAATTAGGTATAGAAGGGAAGTATCTCAACATGATAAAAGCCATCTACCACAACCCACCACCAGTGTCATCCTGAATGCTTTTAGCTTTTCCCTTAAGATCAGAAACAAGACAAGGAGGCCCACTCTCACCACTTCAATTTAACATAGTATTGGAAATACTAGCCAGAGCAATCAGACAAGAAAATGTAATAAAGGGCATCCAGATTGGAAAAGGCAAGTCAAACTCCATTTGCAGATGACGTGATCCTATATATAGAAAAACCTAAAGACATTACCAAAAAACTCTTAGAGCTGATAAATTATTTCAGTAAAGTTGCAGGATACAAAATCAACATGCAAATATCAGTAGCGTTTTTATATTCCAATAATGATTTAGCAGAAAAAGAAATCAAGAATGCAAGCCCATTTACAACAGTCACCAAAATAATAAAATACCTAGGAATCAATTTAATCAAGAAGATGAAAGATCTCTACAATGAGAACTACAAATCACTGGTAAAGAAATTAAAGAGGACACAAAAGGCAGGGAAGACATTTTATGCTCCTGGATCAGAAGGATTAACATTGTGAAAATGTCCATACTACCCAAAATGATCTACAGATTGAATGCAATTCCCATCAAAATGCCGATGACATTCTTCCCAGAAATGTAAAAAATAATCCCAACATTCATATGGAACAACAAAAGACCCCAAATAGACAAAGCAATCCAACAACAAAAAATAAAGCCAGAGGCATTACATTACCTTCCTTCAAATTATACTACAAAGCTATAGTAACTAAAAAAGCATGGTACTGGCATAAAAACAGACACTCAAACCAATGGAATAGAATAGAGAACCCAGAAATCAACCCACATACTTTCAGCCAACTCATATTTGAAAGGGCAAGAGGAGCATACACTGGGGAAAGGACTGCCTTTTCAATAAGTGGTGCTGGGGAAACTGGACATCCATATGTAGAAGAATGAAACTAGACCTGTACCTCTTGCCATATACCAAAATCAACTCAAAATGGATTAAAGAGTATATATAAGACCCCAAACTCTAAAACAACTAAAAGAAAACATAGGCAAAACATTTCAGGAAGTAGGACAGGGCAAAGACTTTATGAGTAAGACCCCAAAAGCACACAGACAACAAAAGAAAAAATAAATGGTATTATATCAAACTAAAAAGCTTCTGCACAGCAAAAGAAATAGTTAACAGAGTGAAAAGACAGCCTATAGAGTGGGAGAAAATATTTGGGAACTATGCATCCATCAAGGGATTAATGCCCAGAGTATACAAGGAACTAAAACAGCTTAAAAGTAGCCTGATTAAAAAATGGGCAAAGGAGCTGACTAGGCATTTCTCAAAGTAAGATATACAAATGGCCAACAGACATATGAAAAAATGCTCAACATCACTAAGCAGCAGGGACATGCAAATCAAAACCACATTGAAATATCATCTCATGCCAGTTAGACTGGCCATTATTGAAGAGACAGAAAATAATAAATGCTGTCAAGGATGTGGAGAAGGGAGAACCCTCCTACATTGTTGGTGGGACTGTAAATTAGTGCAGCCATTATGGAAAACGGTATGGAGTTTCCTCAAATGACTACAGATGGAATTGCCATATGATCCAGCAATCCCACTGCTGGGTGTATACTAAAGAATGGAAATCATTATGTTGAAGGGATACCTGCACTCCCATGTTTATTGCAGCTCTATTTACAATAGCTAAGAGTTGGAACCAACCTAAACGTCCAGTGATGAATGACTGGATAAGGAAAATGGTATATATACATGATGGAATACTACTCTGCCATAAAAAGAAATGAAATTCTGCCATTCACAGCAACATGAATGAACTTAGAGAAAATTACGTTAAGTGAAATAAGCCAGGCACAGAAAGAGAAATACTGCATGTCCTCACTCATAATTGGGAGCTAAAACAAACAAACAAAGAAAAGAAAAAAAGATACAAAAACCACCATAATTTGTTGAACTTTCAAAAGAAGAGAGCAGATCTGAGGCTTCCAGAGGTGGGAAACGTGGAGGGGGAGGAGGGTTAGTGAGAAATTGGTAATGGACCACAAAAAATGATTACATTATGTAAAGTAATATAGTAATTAAAAAAATACAAGAAAATGTGTAAATTATACATGTACATCTCAAATAATTTTTACAAAGTGAACACACTTATGTAAACTCCACCAAGATAAACCAAAAAAAATGAACATTACCAGAACTCCTTTTGTATCCCCTCCCAGTCACTGCTCCCTTTTTTTTTCTCTTCATCCCTTAAATGCAAGTGTTCCCCATGGCTCCATTTTTAGTTTCTTTGTTTTCACTCTACTATCTGCTCTCTGGGTGATTTTAATCTATTTTCATGGTTTCATCTACCACCTATATAGGGAAGGGACCTATATATCTCTGGTCCAAATTTCTTTTCTGAGTGCTAGATCTACTTTTCTAGCTATTTTTGAAATATTCCACTTGGATTTCCAAAGATACCTTAAATGTAGGTGTTTATAAATATACCACAATTTATTCTACTGTTGATATACATTTCCAAAGATACCTTAAATGTATGTTTATTTAAATATACCATAATTTATTTATTCTGTTGATGGGCTCTTGCTATATTTTTCTTCTTCATAAAACTTTTTCCTTTTTCTACGTTTCCTGTTTCAGTGAATAGTACCACATCTACCCAGTTGCTCAAGCCAGCTACTTGGGAATTATCCTTCACCATTATACCTTACCTACCCTCATCATCAGCCTATTCCTCCACCCACACCTCATTTTCTTAGTCACAAATCTTGTTTTAGCTTCTAAATATCTTTCTTCTCTATCCCATAGACTTTATCCCATCAGGCCCTTTTGATTATCAATATTAGTACCATTTATTGAGTACTGACTATGTGCTTTTTATAGACAGCAAATTGTTTAATTCACAATAACTCTGTGAGGAGGGTAGTTTTATCCCAGTTCTACATATGAGAACATTGAGGCTCAGAAAGATTGTCTTACATAAGGTTATGAAACTAATAAATGGTGGAAAGATTGAGACAGAATTGGAATATAAGACTGTCTGACTTCAGTACCTATACCCTTAACCAATTGTACTCTGCTGGACCATAATTATCACTCACAACTATAGCCTCTTATTTGGTTTCCCTGTCTACAGTCATGCTTCCTCTAATTCGTGTCATTCCTTTATTTTAAATCCTTCAGTGGTTCATGCTTGCCTAGAGTTTCATAAAGTCCAAGTTTCCTAGCCTGGAATACTATGCCCTCCATGATCTGTCCTTTGCTGTTCTTTTTAGTTTTGTTTCTCTCCTTGCCTCTGTGCTCCATCTTTGCGGAACTACATGCAGCAATTCAGATATATCGTATCATCTTTTGTAAGTTTGTGCCTTTCTAACTACTTCCTTTTCTCCTTTGCCTGGTTAACTCTTGTTTGTCCTTCAAGACTCAATTTAGATCCCCCAAACATTCTATTGAGAAACATTTCCTAACTGCCTTTTAATCCATTTTGGTGCACTTCTTCTGTGTTCTCAGAGTACTCTATGCCTTATTATAGCCCTATCACATTTTACTCTATGCTTTATTATAGCACTAGCACACATTTCTGTCATAGTAATTATCAGAGCTAGAACAAATTGATTGTTCACTATTCACCTTCCTTATTAGGATGATAACTCCTTGTGGACAAGTGCTGTTTTTTAATCTTTCTTTTTTTTTTAACCATCGTGCCTAGTACATGGAAGCATTCCTTAAATATATGTCAACTAAATAAAATGCTGGAAATTAATTAATTAGTTAATTAATTTTTTCTTCCAAATTTAATTTTATTTTGTCAGTATACAATGTGGTTGATTATTGTGGCCAATTACCGAAACCTCCCTTCCTCCTCCCTCTACCCCCTCCCTCCCAACAATGTCTTTTCTGTTTGCTTGTCGTATCAACGTCAAGGAATTGTAATTGTTATGTCTTCCCCCCCTCCCCCCGTTTTTTTGTGTATTTATTTATTTATTTTTAGTTCCCACAAATAAGTGAGAACATCTGATATTTCTCTTTCAGTGCCTGACTTGTTTCACTTAATATAATTCTCTCTAGGTCCATCCATGTCGTTGTAAATGGCAGTATTTCATTCTTTTTTATAGCAGAGTAGTATTCCATTGTGTAGATATACCACATTTTCCTGGAAATTAATTTAAATAGAGCATAAAGGTACCTGTTCTTATACACATTGATTTTTATTATATCCAGAAGATTTTGTTTATGTTTTTGATTTTTATTTGGAGGTGTGGATACTGAAGCGATAATAATTTGTTCTATAAGGTAGCTTAAACATTGGATTCCCCATGTGATTGATAAAAATCTGGGTTTGCCCTCTCTTTGTCAAATTGGTGGGAATTCTAGCCCCAGATTCATAGAATGGCACATGGACTCCCTGGAAAGAAATTGGCAACTTCATGTTACTTTGGGAGATGTCTTAAAATAATGGAAAATGGTGGGAAATATCTACTCCAAAGTGGTAGATAGTAGTCTTTGGTAAGAGTTCTGGATTGCATGGTATAAACCAAAGTTCCCAGAGGTTCCACAAAACTTATCAACTGGTGCTTTTAAAATCTTTTGCTTTTGGACCTACAACAACTTAACATTCTTTCATCTAAATGGAGAAAACACCCAGGACCCACTTTTCTGACAAGTATGCTTTTTATACTATGGAACAATTTTATATTGGGATATTCATTAATATATATTTCTTCTGTGTTGATTGTGGGGGAAGTATGAAAGGAAACTAGTCCCCACTCTTGTGTTTATTGTATGTTGTCTTGACTCTCTTTATATAACAAAGTAGTGTAATCAAATACAAGCGTACTTCAAAAAATTCATGTGAAGATTTGTATTATCTTTCAGTTCTACTTTTCCATGAACTTTTTGAAATATGCTCATATAAAACTGTCTTTAAGCCCTTTCTTTTGGTAGGGAAAATGGGATGGTCACCCTGTGCTCTGCCCTTGTTGGTAGGGGTGAGGAGAGGACACCTTACTCTTCTTCTAAATACCACTAAAGTTCAATATTAAACCTTTCAGATGAAGGAAGGGGAGGGATTAGGAGGAGACACAAGAGGGGCTCCTGGGGTGCTTGTTATAATGTTATAATTCTTATTATTCACTTTGATACTTTATTATCTATATCGTTATGTCCTACATACTTTTCTGTATGTATCCTATATTCAATAAAAAATTTTAAATTCTAGAAATTTAGAAACTTCTGTCTTTAAACATTTCTCAAAGGGGCCTCTGAAAGATGTTAATGGTGAGGCTCTTTTCAAATGCCGTAGTTTTGCGTGGTCTGCCATGGACTGAGGAGCCCTACTCTAGTGATGTGCAGACTTTAAGTGGAGTGTTTAAGAATAGTGAAGGGAGAGATTAGTGTGGGCAAGCGGAGTTAGGGAAAACAAATATTCATTCATTCAGTAAACATTAACCGGGCATGAACCTTGTACCAGATGCTGTGCTGACATAGAAAACTTGAACAAAACCAAAAATCAGGGTTGGAGGGGAAAATAACATTTTCAGGATGCCAATTAATACTGGCTATAGTTCTATACTAGTCTTTACAGATTAATATAAATAGCAAATGCTTATTTAGCATATGCTCTTTACTAAGAGATTTATATGTATGAATATTAACTCATTTAATCTTCACAATAAATCTACAAAGTAGGCACTACTACTAATATTTTATGGATGAGGAAACTGAGGTAAAGACATTCTAAAGTCACTCAGCCAGGAAGTAGTGGAGCTAGGATTCAAGCCCAACTGTCTGGCTCCTTGCTTCTCTGCTTGAAATCACTATGCTTTGTGAAATTAATGCAAAGACTATCAATGGAAATGTAGGTTGATCTGGAGTCACTATTTGAAGATAGTCAGTGATCCTGCTTTCAGTATTCTGTTTATGTGTTTTGGAACTCTGTGTGAGTGCATTTTCTTCTTTTTACAGACATGGCTGGATTCTGCCAAAGAAATAAAAAAGCAGCTTCGTGGTAAGTGGATATAGCCCTCTTTATACTTCTTTTTTTCTTTTTGTAGGTCAGAGGATTTCCGACCATTTCTGGCTTTGAGTCAGTCACTTTAGAATCCTGACTATTGCAGATTTCTTTGAAATTGAGATAAAGTCTTCCCCTGGAAGGAGGAGATTCCATAATACAAAAATGCAGCAGAGGTGGACACTATTGGGGTGTAGGCAAGATCTTGATTTTTTTTTTTTACAATTAGGCAAACTTGGGGAAGATAGGAACCAGTTGAGAGTAACAGAAGGTGGAAAAGAACAAGATGAGAAAAGAAAAAAGGATACGGGAGTCAGTTCTCAAAATGGTAGTGATTGAAAATGCAGTAGCTTACTAGGAGGAGTTTGCTGCTGGATCCTGTTCCTTTTAAATTGTTCTGGAGCCCTGCATTCTAACTTTCTCCATGTTTTCCTCTCTACAGTTCTTTTTGTCCCTTTCTACAGTGCTCTTCCAAGTTGAAGTATAGGGGACTGTAGAAGAAAAATAAGAATGAAAGGACAAGAATTGCTTGCTTTGCTCTTCTTACTTTGTGGCTTCACTCCTAGGTCCAAGACCTCTAGTGTATATTTCTGCTTCAAACCCTGCTCCGATTAGTGTCCTGGGAGTAGTATTTCTGGGTTAAAAAAAGTGTAGATCAGTATTTTGCAACCCCGGGCCCAATGGGCTAGCTAAGGGGTAGAGACCTTTTTTCCTGATTAAGACTAGCTGTCTTTTTATTTTGTTTTTTTTCCTTTTTGTCTTTTTTCGTGACCGGTAACGGGATCGCAACTCTCGGTATCGCGCCCGCACCGCACTCAACCAGTGAGCGGACCGGTCTCTATATGGGATCCAAACCCTCAGTGGGAGCGCCGCCGGGCTCCCAAGTGCTGCACTCTACCAAGTGTGCCACCAGGCCGGCCCTAGTTTATTTTATTTTTGAAGAATCTTCCAGGATATGCAATAGTTTTGCTAATCATGATTAGTAAATTTTTTTTTTTTCTTTTTTGTCCTTTTTGAGACCGGCTGCACCGCGCTCAGCCAGTGAGCGCTGTGAGCGCACTGGTCATCCCTATATAGGATCCGAACCCGCGGCGGGAGCGCTGCTGTGCTCCCAGCACCGCACTCTCCCGAGTGCGCCATGGGCTTGGCCCATGATTAGTAAATTTTTTTTTCTTTTTTTTTTCCTTTTTGTCTTTTTTCGTGTCCGGCAACGGATCGCAACCCTCAGTGTTGCGTCCGCACCTCGCTCAGCCAGTGAGCGGGAACTGGTCTGTATGTGGGATCCGAACCCTCGGCGGGAGCGCCACCGTGCTCCCAAGCGGCGCATTGTAGCAGTGCGCCACCGGGCCGGCCCATGATTAGTAATTTTAACTCTGTCAGCTGACAACAAATTTTACTTTTCATTTGTTTCTTAAAAGAAAACACTTGTTATGGTGAAATGTTTTCCTTTAGACCCCGTTTACAATTGCTTTAACTTTGTTAAAACAGAGAAACAGAATACTCCTTTGGACTGGCAACTCTCTCTGTTTGCTCTATGCCTATAAAAGCTTGTTTTAAAATGCAAGTCAGAGCAAAGAATATTCAGAATATTTGAGATATGACAAAAATATAACTCATTTCAATGAAAATACTTTTAATAGTATTACTCAGGAACAAAAGTTTGTACACAAGAAAACTCTTCAGGAAGAAAGGTTAACAAAGTTTATGATGAGTGAAAAAGAGTATCTAGTGGATTATCTTCCTGGGTATTAAAAAAATCTCTTGCTAAGAAAAAGAACCTAAATATTTGTCATTTTTAAAAATTAAAAAATAAGTAAAAACCCTTCCTTCAACATGGGGGAAAAAATCTGTCTAAGAAAAACTTTAATAGAAAATCAAAATGTAAATATATCATTAAGCCAAAGAGAAGGTTGACATTTATCTGTTGGAAAGGTGGGGTTTTTAAAAAATTTTTTCATCACACCAGTAATATATATCCATTGTGAAAAATTTAAACATTGTGGAACTATATCATGGAGAAAGCAAAAGTCCCCTAAATCTGTCCTTTGTTAAATTGGTATAATCTGCAAGATTTTTTCTGGGCATATATGAATATTGCTTTTTAAAAAATAAAACTATGCTGGGCTGGCTGGTTAGCTCATTTGGTTAAGGTGTGGTGCTGATAACACTAAGGTCCAAGGTTAGGGTTAGGGTACAGATGAGTAAAGTGCAAGGTATATCTTCCTTTTTCCCTTGTCCTAGTCATGTAGTTTCCTTTCCTGGAGGCAACCGTGGTAACTAGTTTCTTGTGTTCTTTCCAGAGATAATCTCAGTGTACATAGACACACACATTTTAATATAAATATACAACTGACCTTTTTTATTTAACATAATTTGGAGTACTCTCCATGTAAATATATATATAAATTTACTGCTTTATAACATTTTTAAATGATTATAGGCACAATGTATGTAACTGGTCCTATTGATGGGCATTTTGGGTTAATCTCAATAGTTTGCCATTACAAACAATGTTGCAGTGAACTTATTTGTATGTATATCTGTGCATTTATATAAGTGTTTGTATATAAATTTCTAGAAGTAAAATAAAAAACTGAATATTTAAAATTGTAATAGATATTCAACAGCAAGATTTTTTTCATATATCAAAAAATATAGAAAAGTATGGAAGCTAATATAACAAATATCCATGTACCCACCACCTAGAATTAACATGTGTTAACATTTTTGATTTAAAATAGAATAGTACAGGTCAGTTTTCTCTCTTTATTTCCTCCCGGTTCCATCCCCTTCTCTCCCTGTTCGTAGAAATCTATTATTATGAGTTTGGGGTGATTCCTTTCTGTCCATGTTTTTATATTTTTTCTTTCAGATATCCATACCCATGTACAATATATAGTATTGCTTTGTCTGTTTTTTTGAAATTTCCCTCAGACCCAGTCCTACCATTTGGATCTTCCGAGGTTTATAGTCTCTTTCCCTCCTCCCAGCGTTTTTACTTTGTTTATTCTCTTGGTTCTGGATAAGAGAGATCTCCCTTACTGAGTCAGGCTAGCCACTCCCGTCCCTTTCTGGAGTTGTACAGAGCAAAAGCAAGAAATCCTTATAGCTTCTATATATACTGTAAATTACTAATGTATAATTTACACATTATGTTGATAAAAATTTATAGCCTATATATGCCCCTTCCTCAGTGCATCTTCCTCTCTTTCTCTGCAGAGGTCACCACTGTCCTCACTTTTGTGTTAATGATTCAATTGAGTTTTTTGAAATGGTTTTTATTACCTATGAATGTATACCTAAGAATCTAGTGTTATGTTTTTTCTTTCTAAAGATCATGAAAATTGAATTGTATAATAGATAATCATATGTAACTTGCTCTTCTTACTCAAGATAGTTTTTGAAATTCATCCTTGTTGAAAAAGAAAATTTTACAAAACAATTCTTAATCTTTACTATGTGTTATATGAATGATATTCTGATTTTTTTCTTTTATATTCCATTTTGTGGTTTTTTTTTTGTCTTTTTCCGTGTCCGGCAACGGATCGCAACCCTCAGTGTTGCCCCCATACCCGGACCGGGGACCGGCAACGGGATTGCAACCCTCGGTGCTGCTCCCGCGCCTCGCTCAGCCAGTGAGCGGGAACCGGTCTGTATGTGGGATCCGAACCCTCGGGCGGGAGCGCCGCCGCGCTTCCCAAGCGGCGCACTTATCCAGTGCGCCACTGGGCCGGTCCCCCATTTTGTGTTTTTAAATGCCAATATTTTTTCCCACTGAATTGATTTCACAATGGATCATGATCCACACTTTAAAAAACACTGACTTAGGATATATACTTGGAAGTGGAATTGCTAGGTTATAAATTATGTTTATTTTTGACTTCATAAGGTATTGACAAATTGCTGTCCTTTAAATTGATTGCAACAGTTTACATCCCTACCAATATCATATGAGAGTTCTTGGTTTCCTGTGTCCTGAGACGGTGGGATTTTTTTTTCAATTATTAACTAAAAAATGTTTTTGACCTAATTTTAGACTTACAGAAAAGTTAAAAGAATGGTATAAAGAATTCCTGGATATGTTTCATGCAGATTCCTCAAATGTTCATATTTTATTATATTTGCTTTATCTTCTTTTCTATTTATCTATACAAAAACACACACAGGGTTTTTCCTGAACCATTTAAGGGTAAGTTGCACCATAGCAGCACTACTCACAATAGCCAGAATGTGGAAACAACCCAAATATCCATCACAGGTAATCGATAAACAAAATTAGGATATTCATACAATGGAATATTACTCAACCAGGAAAAAGGATGAAGTACTGATACAAGCCTCAAAAATATACCAAATGAAAGAAGCCAGACACAAAAGGCCACATATCTTATATTCTGTTTATATGAAATATCCAGAATAGGTTGATCCATAGAGACAGAAAGCAGATTAGTGGTTGCCAGGCTTTGGGGGGAGGGGACACTGGAGAGTGACTGCTTAATGGATACAGGGGCTGTTTAGGGAGTCATGAAAATGTTTTAGAACTAGATAGAGGTGATGGTTGCACAACATTGTGAATGTACCAAATGGCACAGAATTGTACACTTTAAGATGATTAATATGTGAATTTTATCTCAGTTAAAAAAAGAGTACATTGTAGGCATGATGCTCTTCTGCCTCTAAATACTTCAGTTTGTATATCCTAAAATCTAGGGATTTTCTTACATAACCACAATACGATTATCAAAAGCTGGAAATTAACATTGAAACAATATTAACCTTTATACCTTATTTGTCATTTTTCCCAATGATATCCTTTAGAGCAAAAGAAAGTCTAAAGTAATAATTTACATTTAGTTGTCACATCTCTTTAATTTTCTTTAATCTGGAACAGTTCCTGAGTCTTTAAAGTATTTCATAAGACGGGTAGTTTTGAAGAGTACAGACCAGTTATTTCATAAATAGTCAATTTCTGATGTTTCCTCATGGTTTGATTCAGCTTATGCACTTTTGGCAGAAATGTCATTGAAGTGTTGCCAAGTTAGAAGGCAAAAATTTTGATGTTAAAAAATTTTAGAGCTTTTCCAGTCACCATTTTTTGTTACACCCCCTGTGTAACAGAGACGAAAAAAAGAATTACATGATTACTCAAAGCACTGTGTATGCATTGAGAGGCCCGGAAGGACTGCACTTCAGTAATTTCCCTATTAGAAGAAGAAAACTGAATATGAGAGCATGATTCAAAGTTGGCCTCTCCCTTTTATTGTAAAGACAAGGAAGTTTCACAAGAAAATTCAGTTGATTTAATCATTACAAAAAACACAAGGATATGGGCAGATTATGGCTAAGTATAGTTTTAACAAATGGAAACTAGTAACATCAGTGAAGTAAAGTGACATTCTATAATGCAATTTGTAAAAGGTTAAGTTGATCCACCAGCTTGTTCTTAGCAAATACTATCTTACAGCAATTTCCTTAGTATTTTTACACAACAATCAAGCAACTTTCTTAACATATCAATCAGTAGGTTAACCAAGGACATCTGTCCTTGAGCGAGCAATTTTACTGTGTTACAATTCTTTTTTTTTTTCCTTTTTGTCTTTTTTACTGACCAGTAACGGGATTGCAACCCTCAGTGTCACGCCCGTACCAGGGACCGGCAACGGGATCGCAACCCTCGGTGTTGCGCCCGCACCGCGCTCAGCCAGTGAGCGGGAACCGGTCTCAACATGGGATCCGAACCCTTGGCGGGAGCGCCGCCGCGCTCCCAAGCGGCGCACTCTCCAGTGCACCACTGGGCCGGCCCTACAATTCTTTATCTACAACAGAGACTTTAGCCTGGGAAGGTTTCCTGTCTTTTGCAAGCTTATCATTTCTATATGTAATTTTAAAAAGTTAGGTTATACCTGAAACTACAGGGCTTTGGAAGCTAGGCCCTGTGAAATACATTTGCTTTATTAATGTTAGTACACTCCACAATTTTTTTCCTTCACTAAATATTCTCCATAAAGTATTACTAATTATGTGTATCATATTCTAGAAATGGTTACTGACCAGAGCTTTACTTTAATATTTTTTTGAATTCCAAGTAATTGGCTTTTTTTTAGCTTCCCTGTTGCATTTAGCCCTGAGCCTGCTTACAACGAAACTGGATAGTTTTTTTTGTGTGTTTTTTAAAAAATTTTCTTTTTGTGGGCTGGCTGTATGGGGATCCAAACCCATGACCTTGGGGTTAAAGGTCTGCTCTCTAACCAACTGAGATAACTGGCCAGCCCAATTTCTTTAGTAGTATCCAAAACTTGTAATTGTTACATGCAAAAGAATAGGAACCAAAAGTTTTAGTTTCTCTTATAATTGCTGTTAATGAAAGTAAAGTAGAAAGGTTAAATATTTGGAACATTTCTGTTTAGTTATGGTTATTTTTAATACAGTTAAGCTTCCTTGGGGTTAAATGGAGATAAAAATCCAAATGGAATACAGTTTTTTGGGTTTTTAAAAAATGTTTTCATTTGATTAGATCTAGTAACTTGAGGTCATTGTGGATCTGGAATAATGGATAGATAAATAATTTTAATATAATAGTGCCTATTATTCTACTTTTGTGCAGCCCTTTTTAAAAAAAAAAAATTCCCCCTCCAGAGCATTAACATTCTCATATGACCTTCACAACAATGCTGTGAGATCAGTTACTTATTTCATTCATTCAATCAACAAATGTTTCTTGAGGACCCATGATATGCCAAACACTGTTTTAGACACTAGAGATATACACCAGATAAAACAGAAAAACATTCTTGCTTTTAGGAATTTATATTTTAGTGGGAGGAGGCAATGATTATTCTTTAAAATTTTTTGTATGTATGTAAATAAGTAGAAAATGTATACAGTATAAAATTCAAATAGTATAAAGAGTATGTAGTGAAAATAGGTCTCCCTCCTATTCATTTTCCCTTAGCCTCCCAGTTTCCGTGTCCAGGATCTCCCCTTCCTAGTTTCCCAACTACTAAAGCAAGTTTATTGTATGTCCTTATGGAGATATTCTGTGCATATATAATCATCCCTGTCATACATACTGTTTTCTATCCCCCCCCGACTTACATGGTAGTTTTCTATATATACTGTTTTTCACTTTTATTTATTTTTTTCACCTAACACTATATGTTGGAGATCACTCCATACAGAGGTATTTCTTTCTTTTTAATGGCTACCTAGTTTTCCAATGTATAGATGACCCATAATATAACTTATCTTCTCTTGCTAGATAAATATGTTTAGGTTATTTCTAGAATTTTGCTATTCCAACCAATATCTTGTGCATTTATCATTTTGACTGCATTCAAGTATATGTTTAGATACACTTATGGAAAAAGAATTGGTAGGTGAAAGGGTATAAACATTTTATTTTTTTATTATTTTTTATTTTATTTTTTTTGTCTGTTTTGTGACCGGCCGCACCATGCTCAGCCAGTGAGCGCACCAGCCATCCCTATATAGGATCCGAACCCGCGGCGGGAGAGCTCCCAGCGCTGCACTTTCCCGAGTGCGCCACGGGGTCGGCCCTACATTTTATATTTTGATAGATACTGTCAAATTGTTCTCCACAGTGGTGTTGTACCAATTTACACTTCTATCAGCAAAAGATAAAAATGCTTATTTTCCCCATCAACCCGGGGTGTTATCAAGCTTTTTATATCGTTACTTAACAGAGCTCAAAGAGAAAAAATAAATCACAGTTTGTAAACAATTGCTAATTTGATTTTCTTAATGTTATTCTTATGCAATTAAAATATTCCCATTTATATAAGTTATGAAATAAATAAATTTATGTTTAAAGTTCTTAAACACTGAATTCACATATATTAAACATTCTTTTGGCTCTCTTTGCTTTCCATATTGATTTGTTCTAGCCAATGCACTTTTATAGGTAGTATAGAGGGCTTTTTTAAAAGTCTGTATGGAGTTATGAATTAACAATGGCTAGATTGATGTGATTTTATCATATCAGAAAGGGAAACAACAGGTGATATTGGTTTATGGTATACATTACAAGTACTGACCCCCCCATGTTTTGAGAAAGTTATAGGTTTGTCTCTGTCTCTCTCTCTCTGTCTCTGTTTCTCTCTCTTAAACCCTGGACCTTGGTGTTATCAGTACCACACTCTAACCAACTGAATGAACTGGCCAGCCATGTTTTTTTAATCTAAGTTCCATTTAAAGTTTTCCGGGGGCTGGCCAGTTCACTCTGTTCGTTAGAGCACAGCCTTATAACACCAAGGTCATGGGTTCAGATCCCCATACAGGCGAGCCACAAAAATAATTAAAAGAAAAAAATTAAAGTTTTGGGGAAATGAAGCATTGGAATTGGGTTGATGGTAATTATTAGGATTTGGCTAAACTTTGAGACACCCTTGTTATATTGTCTGGAATTTGCCTTTTTACTTCAAATACTGAATGAAATATTGACCATTTCTAAGGGTATCTTATATTGAATATTTTAGTATGCTTAAAAGTACACATTTATTAAGATATTCAAACTACTTTAAATTATAATCTGCGTATTGTCATTGTCAACTGTTAGCAATACAAATGATACTGGAAATGAAATATAAAACACAGAGTGATACTTGATGCACATATACTTGTAGTAGGATAGTAGAATCCAGTGGTTAAAAGCATGGGATTTGGAGTAAGAGAACCATGAGTTCACTAACTTTGTACTTTCCTAAAGGTCTGTTTCTTCATATATTAAACAAATTAATACTAGTACCTACCTCCTTGGGTTTCTCTGAGGATTAAATGAGTTAATGTATGTAGGACAGCTAGTTTTATGCCTAGCATTCAGTAAGTATTGAAAAAAATGGCCATTCTTGGTATCATAACCAATCATACTTACTTCTGGTTGAAATTATGCCTTACTCTCTGGGAAGCCAACAGTCATGCTAGAAAAACCATGAAGGATAGCACTCAGCTGGAAAAATTGAAATGCATTCTTCATTTAACCTTAACTCATAATCTCTAATTTTTATTTTAGATCAAAAATATGACGTGTATGAGTCTCAGGATAGAACTCTTGTAGTTTTCATACCTAAATATTCTTATTAGGGCTATAGTTTCTAAGAACCACTGATGTTATCTCTTTCCTCTTATTTCTAAAATAATTTCCTAATTGCACTCATATTAATGAGAATAATTCTTTTGTTTATTTGAGAAAATATTGATAGATATCACAAATAAATGGTGCCAAAACCAAAAAAGAACATTCATGGGTCACTGAATGACCTCTGAGGACCCAGGGTAGTATATGGATCACATTTTGAAAACCATTGGTACAAACAAATTGACATTTAGGATGGTTTTCTTCATGTTATTTTGCCAATTTACTTCTAATTCTTCGTAAAAAAAAAAAAAAAAAAAAAAACTATTGCATTAAGACGGGTTAAAAAAAAATGAGATTCTCTAGTTCCAACTCTTAAGTGGTATCTAAGCAACGTTTTTTTTCTTCCTTAAAAATTTTTTTTTATCTATAACGCATGAAAATATTAAAAGATTTCAGAAAAAAAGAAAATTTTGATATCTTGAGGTACTTCTAACAATCAGAAACTTAGGCATAAGCATAAAATTTTTTGTGTTTATTTTTACAGGTGTCCCTTGGAATTTCACATTTAATGTAAAGTTTTATCCACCTGACCCAGCACAGTTAACAGAAGACATAACAAGGTAAATAATTCTCATAATAAGCTCTGGGAATCTCCCTATTCAGAATTGAAGAAAAATAATGAGCAATTAAATAGTTAGCCTAAGATAAAAAGTTTCTGGTCACTTCAAAACGGGCTTGCAAATAAGTGAGCCTAAAAGCCTCAAGTATCTATAATCTGCCTGGAGGAAACTGACACGGAAACTAGGCTTGCTTATCAAGGATTTTATGCCATGCTGTGGGCAGGGCTCCTACCACACCACCCTCCAAAGGGCTAACCACAAATATAGTGGTAAAATGGCTCTTCTGGTCTTTTGGTTTGTTTTTCATACTCCTCTCCAACTGTGTTCCTTCTTAAAGGTATCAAAAAATCTAAAAATCCCAGCGTTATTATCATTTCTTCCTATTTTCCTTTTAAAGTGTACGATTAGGTATGTGATCCTCATGAACTAAATCTTCCTTTGGTCCCACGTAATTTATGAAATAAATCTTGTACTCTTTAAAAAACAGCATACTGATTTCTTTTAAGAAAATGGCCTTTACTGGATTCTGCAAAAATATTAACGAAAAAAGAAAATGGAAAAGCAATATATTGTAAAGTGTACTACTGTACATATTTATATCCATAGCATCTTGCATGGAACCTTTATAGTAGGTGCTTGGCAAACGTTTGTTAAATTGAAATGTTGTTTGTCGAGAAACTGCTTTCTAATTCTGATGTTGCTGTCAATTATCTGATTTCAGGCAAATTTACAGTCTCTGGGCCTCTGTTTTCATATCTCTCAAATAAGGGAATAGATTAGACTCTTTAAAAATCTGACTTAAATTCTGTGAAAAGTCTATACTATTTTTTAAATGTATTCATTGTCTAGTCATCCTTAGTAGATGGTTGAAGTTGAGATGCCATATCTCTGCCTGAAAAAAATGTTTTGGTTATTTCTTTTTCACAGGTAATATTGGTTTCTTAGATTTGCTGCTACTTACTCATCTTTCTTCATCCAGGCTTATTATGTATAAAACAAAATACATCCCTAAAAATCTTTGCTAATTACCTACATTTTAGAGGAGTTTAAGGATTCCTGTGACCTGTTTGGCCTTGCTCTGACTTTTTCTAAACACATGTACTTAAAGATTATAGATAGTAAAAACTATTGCTGATGCATATATTATTCAAAATCCTACTGTGATAAAAGCAAGGATATGATTCTAATTAATATAGGAATTGTCCATTTAGTCATACTTTCCTGTTTGGTACTGGTCAACTGTCAGGATGCGTGGTAAGGAGGTCAGGGCCATAGGTGTGAACATTACACTGATAGAGAGGTGTCTGTATATAGTAGGGCACTCAGCTGGTTTGTTGCATTGAACTGTTTTAACTGTAGGCTGAATTTCCAACAGTTTAGCACAAAGTTGGAATTAGTCTTAAAAGGTAGCTGATAGTGTTGTGGAAGGCTGCGTGCAACTTAGCCCATGTTGGAGGGAAAACATACCAGAATGTTCATATTCTAGTGAAAATGTGTCAATAATGTCATTTTTGTATATGAAAGACCATTCCTACACATTTGATATAGCAGTGTTGCTGACATAACATCTTTTCTATTTTGGCTGTAGATATTACTTATGTCTTCAGCTTCGGCAGGACATAGTTGCAGGACGTCTGCCCTGTTCCTTTGCAACCTTAGCATTATTAGGTTCTTATACCATCCAGTCTGAGCTGGGAGACTACGACCCAGAACTCCATGGTGTGGATTATGTTAGTGATTTTAAACTGGCCCCAAATCAGACCAAGGAACTTGAAGAGAAGGTCACGGAACTGCATAAGTCATACAGGTAAATATATCTCCAGGGTTTGCTCTGTGTTTGTTTTGGCAATAAGTTTAAACTCTTGACCTTGTATTGATTCAGTATTTACCTAAGAGGGAGTGTGGTGCCATAGAAAGAGTCAGCATGAGCTCAGTTCCTTCCACTGTTTGACTTTGGGCAAGTCATATAAGCCCTCTGAACCTCAATTTTCTCATCAGAGTAATGGTCATTGCATTGTAGGATGAAAACTAAATGAGGTAATACATGTAAAGCACTTAGCACAGTGCCTGGCACATAGTAGGTACTCAGTACTTGGTAGCTATTATTATTATTATTGCCTTAACTTTTTTTCAAATTTTAAACTTATTATGCTACATTAGATGCCTTGAGATCCTTAGAGCAGGGGTTTTTAACTTGGAATCTATGTATATATGAATAGATTTCAGAGGACCCATTAACCCCTGAAAGTCTTTTTTTTCCTTTTTGTCTTTTTTACTGACCGGTAACGGGATCGCAACCCTCGGTGTCGCGCCCGTACCGGGGACCGGCAACGGGATCACAACCCTCGGTGTTGCGCCCGCACCACGCTCAGCCAGTGAGTGGGAACCGGTCTCCACATGGGATCCAAACCCTCAGCGGGAGCACCACCGCACTCTCAAGCGGCGCACTCTCCAGTGCGCCACCGGGCCGGCCCATCCCTGAAAGTCTTTTTAAAAATCTTTATTGAATTCATTGACTATACTGATTTTTTTTTCATGAAAACAATTGGTAATGTTGGGAGATATCATAACATAGTGATTAAGAGCAAAGGCTTATAGTCAGTCTGAGCTGTGTTGAAATCTTGGGTCTGCCTGGTCCCAGCCTTGTGACCTTAAGTAATTCACTCATAACCTCTCTGAGCCTTAGATTCCTTATATGTCTGATGGAGATTATTACTTCAGAGGAAACAGGGGGATTGCTAGGTTTAGAAAAAATAATGTGTGTAAAAAAACTTAATGCAATGTCATAGTGTCTTTTACATAGTAAAAATTTGATGAATGTTAGCTAATATTAAAGTGCCAGAAGATAATCTGTATTTCTTTTTACCATGTGAGTACATCCATTGTTATTTGAGTGATTTGCTATAGCTAAATTTACAAGCTGCCTTACTGTTAACGTGAAAGTCTAATCTTGGCCTTGAGTTAGTACCATGAGTTATATTAGCATGAGTTAGGTTACCAAGCTCCAAAGGGTCACACTGCTCAAAGCGAAATCCAAAGAGTGGTCTCGGTAGGTTTACCGTAGTGGTAACAAGTGTTCTGTCTAGCTGCTGAACCATCTCCTTCTCCTCAGGGTGGTTTCAATAGGATTACATGGATTGGGATGCTTCAAATAAGAGAGCTCTAACTTAAGGTTTGGCAATTCTGGGTGTCTTATTGCCTTTATAGGTTTGGGTACCTCAGTCATGAGAACAATAATAAACACTTTAAAGTCTGCAACCTATAAAGCAGTAGTCTTATAAGAGTCACTTAAGAGGTTGCAGTATTTCCAAAGAGAACTGCCAGAGTTTGCTTTTGAAGTTTGGGCTTATATATTCTAATGCACTGATGTCTGGGATCACTAAATACACCGCTTTCAACTTGTTGATGATTGTAATTTAAGGATGTTACATTGTCTTTGAGTATATTTTTAATACTTTTACTTGTATTCTGGTTATGATTCTAAAAACTTTTATATATATATATATATATATGTGTATATATATACACACACACACACACACACACACACACAGACAGACAGACACACACACACACACATATATATATATGCAAAAGCAAGTACTGGAAAGAATCAATCAATTAAAATAATTTGATTTGTTGGAATGTCAAGATTGTAGGGGAATGTTCTTTTTATTTTCTTTTTTTGAAAATATACTAAAATTTAATCATCCATAAAAGCTGTAACTTAATCTGACGGTAAAACACAAGAAGCAATATTAGAGTTGGTTTAGTATATTATATATTTTAGCTTTGAAAGCCATAGAAATCAGTTATCCCAGTTTTTTTTCCTATTAAAGACCCATTTTTCCAAAGTGTTATGCACAATTTTAATTAGAATATAATGACAGATGATATTCCATAATTTTAAAAATATAAAACAAAGTCAGTGACTCAAAAAAGTTACCTGCTGCAATGAGTTTGAGGGGAAATTTCATAATCTATATGATTGCAGATATAAAGTGTAATGATTCAACTTTTTGGTGCTTGACAGGGAAAAAATCATGATAAAAAGGTCAATATGAAATCATCTGATTATAGTAGCAATATTTAACATTTGAAATGCATCCATGTTTGGGCTGAGCCCGTGGCGCACTCGGGAGAGTGTGGCGCTGGGAGCGTGGCGGCGCTTCCGCCGCGGGTTCGGATCCTATATAGGGATGACCGGTGCGTTCACAGTGCTCACTGGCTGAGCGCGGTGCAGCCGGTCTCAAAAAGGACAAAAAAAAAAAAAAAAAAAAAAAAAAAAAAAAAA